CAGGCGGAAAAACACGGAAGAAAAAAAAAGGACCACGGGGGAGGCGAGGAAGAAAACAGACGACGAGCCGCCGAGCGCAAGGGCCGGCGGAGCACACCCACCACCCGAACCAGACAGAGGGGGAGGGAGAGGGAAGAGAGAGGGGGGGGGGGGGGGGGGGGCGATCTCTCCCTCCGCCTCTTGCGGTAGTCCTCCCGGCGTCTTCACACGGGCACAGCACGCCAAGCCGCGCCACGGCCACCGCGTCCACGGACGATACGGTGCAGGGGTACACTGGCCGGGAGATTCGAGGACAAACACACAAAAGAGAACCACAAGAGAACCAGAAGAACCAGAATCAAGGACCTAACGGCACACGACGACGACCCACAAAACGAAAATACGTGGCCGTCTTTGTTTTCTCTCGTTCTAGCCTCTCTCCATTTACCACCGGCTGCATCGACGTGAACGGCGGGGCGAAGGTCGTTGCTACAATACCACTGCTGCTGCTGGTGCTGCTGGTGCTGCTGGTGCTGCTGCTGTGGCGGCACACACACACGCGCACAATTTTCAAAAACAACACTACAAATCCATCTGCGCCAGGAGGAGCCCCGCGGCCTGCTCCGCGTCCCCCCCCGTGCTCGACAGCGCCCCCTCCGCCTGCTCTCTAGAAAAGCCCATCGCCGTCAGCTGAGTAACCTTAGCCTCCTCCGCCCCCCCTGCCGCTGACGCTGTCGCTGCCGCCGGCGTGGCGCTTGCGCTAGCCGGAGAAGCGGTCGCCGGGGTTTCCGTGTCCATAGCGGAGGAGGCGGGTGCTGCCGAACCGGCACCGGCGCCAGTCGGCGCTGTCTCCACCGAAGAGGAGGACCCCGAACTCTCAGCAGCGGCGGGCTTTTTGTTCTCTAGATCCTCCGCCTGACGAGAGAAAAAAAAAGGGGGCGTTTGGACGAGCGGGTACGGTCAAGGGGGTGTGGCACACTGGGTAGATACGGCGGCAGAATAGTAGGAGGCCGGCTCTTGAACTCCTTGAAATTTCGGCAGGGAGGCACGATTTTTCGGATTTTGTGCCGACAAGGCGGGAATGCGCACCCTTCGCGAAACCGTTCAGGGTGTTTCTGTAAAAACGAATCTCAGAAACGCAAGTTTTATCGCAATCGCTGCTTGCGCTTGCAGCGCCGGGTCTGACGATTGTTTAACTCTCTTGTGGGCTGATGAGAGCATTGGCTTTCGATCGGGCAACTATGTGTCAGAGGCTATGTGACTGCAAGGCAGGGAGCGATGGGTGGGGGCGGGGAAAGAGACGACCACGCCGAGAAAAAACCATCCGAGGCTAGGCACACTCACAACTCGATGGTTATATGAAAGCGAAACGCTGCGATCGGCGCCGTCTGGAGCGAGTGCCGACAACCAACAGCAGCAACGGCAGCAGCAGCGAATACGGCAGTAGCGACTCGCCTGCGTCTCTCGCGCAGAGGAAGGCAAGTCCTTCTCTGACAGGAACGGCACGCTAGCCCCCGCGCTGCCCAGCCCAAGCATGCTGCTCTTGAGGTCGATGACGCAGAGGTGGCGTTTTAGCATGTCCAAGCCGAAGAGAAAGTCCACGTCGCTTGTCTTTGTGTAAAAATAAAACGTCGGCATGCAGCAGCAAAAAGGGACGGGGGGGAAGAAGGGGTAGAGGGGGATTAATGACAATCAAGAGAGCCGACAAAAAAACTGGGTGAAGATTAACCTCAATGGTTATCGCCGCGTCCGGCCCGAACCAAAACCCTCATAACGTGACACGAATCGCTATATAAATTATCCTAACACCACCTAACCTCTAGATTACACGAATCGCGATATACACAATCCTATACCATCTAACCTCTAGATTACACGATTCGCCAAACAGTCGAAACACCATCGAAGGGGTTTTACGAAAGCGTTTTGTTCGTCCTAACACCTGCCCTCTGCGTGCGGCCGATCGGTAAAACGGCAGCGCACGTGTGATACACACAATTTTACAGGAGACCCGACATCCGTCCTGCCCTAAAACAAGCTCGAAATGAGAAGGCGGGCTCGCAAGGGTCCCACACAAAACCCAACGCAAAACTCAACAAGCTTAGTCCTAAAGACACCGCTCCTATTGTCCCAGGTGTCCAGAGCGGGCGTAACAAAAACACCGCTTGCTGTGTTCGCACCGCCCGCGGACACACCAGGGGGGTTGTACTCATAGCCGTTATACCGTTGACCCCGCGTCCCTACAAAGCCGGGACGGAGCACGCCGGGTGTTGTTCACCGGACCAGGCTAGCACATCATCAGGGGGGGGGGGGGGGGGGGGGGGGGGGGCCGGCGCGGCCGGC